TTTTATCTGTAACTAGTACAATACGAATGATGAATAATACTTGACAGATATTAACTAATATATTTGAGCTAGTTATAATTCATAAACAAGAAAATCTTTTCTCTTATCAAATGAATATATTTTTCAATTGACATAGTCATAGAATATTTATATTATATATACATTTAATAAATGTTCAGCAAAAATTCATACAAATTCGTATGATTAAAAATCATAGTTACTTCATAAATTAAATAAATTTTGAAGCACATTAAAAAGTTTTCTTCATTCTGTTTTGTTAGTATATTACTATTATTTCATAGAATAAAGAATATAAGTTGATAGTTAGAATTTTTTAAAGAACTTTTCGATATTTTATCTGTCTAGGGGCAAGTCATTATTCTATTTCAATTCGTTTAGAACTCTGATATTCATTTGACTGTTTGTTTTTATTTTTATAATGATCTCTCAAGGAATTTTTCTACTTACGAATAGCTTTAATCACAACCAGAATATTTCTGAAAAACAATATATTGAATTGTAGTTCTATAATTTTGTTTGAAAAAAATCAAAATTTGGACGTCATTTACTTTTGCAGTGAGCGCATTATGTATACATAATGTAAGAGAAGTTAATAATGATAAAATAAACAAACGGCTTCATGATATGCATCCAAAATAACAAAAAAAATTTCAATTACGAGACTGGCATATATGAGAGAACTAAATAAAACAAGATTTCAAAACAAAAATAACAAAAACCTCTTATCTAACTTAATTGATATTCAGGCGGTAAATCAAAATTGAATATTTGGGTTTACATATATTGACACCAATTGTCAATAATTATTTATATAAAATTTCAGAAAATAAAATTTGAACATTCTTTAATATATTTCATGAATTTTGTACCACTTTGTAAAAATAAAAAAGCGAACACATATTATTCAAGATTTTCATCTTTTGAGTTTATTGTCATTCGAATTCAAATATAATATTGTGATTGAAACGCAAAAAGAAAATATTGATTGCTAAAAAACTGAGTAGTGGAATATATCTAAAAACTATTCGAACATAAAAAATCAAATAATTCTAAAAATCAAATATCTACGATATACATACGTATCATTGTTTAGGTCATTCATACGACAATTGTAGGTTTTTTTATGGATACAGCTCAATATTTTCTATTTGATATGTATATATATATAGTTTGATTAGTTTCAAACTACTGTATTAATCATCTAATTTTGGTATATCATGAGGTTTGTTTACTCAACACTTTGTTTTTTATACACAAATCTCTTATGAATAATACAACATCATAATAGTACACAAAAAAAAACGATTTCAAATAATTATTTTAGTGTTATAAAGAAATAACTGGCTGCAGCTGTATATACATTCGATCAATATTTAAATGGCTATATGAATCAATGATTATGATAATGCATGGTTGAGAGAATACTGTACAAGGAGTATTTGAACAGAACGAAAAAAAAAACGATCTATGCTTGTAATAGTCATCAAAGCTATGTATATATTTTTTTTTCTTTTTTTTTTTTGTTTCATAAAGACACCTAAGGAGACGCATATTATTATTTATAATCTTTGTCTATCTATGTGTATGAAGCATAGATGATTATTTACATTGATTGATAATAATACATAGAAAATATATGATGAACAGTGATGAATAAGAATGAATTTTTATAATCGATTTTATATTTGCAATATGCATGCATTGATATAAATGTCAAGGAAAAGATAGACACGGTTCACTTGAATAAAACAAAATATAAAGAAAAGAAATCAAACGAGTATATCATATGTAGTCGTGAAAGTATTCGTATATTTTATTTGTCTTAGGTCGTTTAAGAAGAATAAATCATAAACAAATGAATTGTATCTTTTTTTTTAGTGTAGAAAAAAACATTGTAACAAAAAAATAATCAAACATGGGTTCATATATACAAACTATAATTAACGTATCTGTCTATAATAAAACATCAGGAATCTTATATTAAAATTCGTATTTTTGATGAGTAATAATGGATAAAGGTTTTCAGATTATTTGGAGAATTTAAAAGATTTTTCAGATTGAAATAATGTAGAAGAGCTACAATTGAATGACTATCAAGAATATCAATAACTCTTCGTGAAGCTTGTTAGTACAGCGTTTATGAGTCAAAAATGTGAAACTCACAAAAAGAATTGATCTCTCTTATTTACTTCTACATTGCAAACAGAAAGTTTTTTCATGTTCATATTCTGTCTTTTTTTTAATTTAACATTAGTAGTTTTCTCTCCATCGATTTAATTCGATCACAAGCTAAATAGTAAAAATATCATGCTTTTATGACTTGTTTTTTTTTGTCTCTTCTTTGAAAGAAACGATTTTATTGTCGAAAATATCTTGAAATGCGTTTGTTCTTCTGTTTCTTCATATGCAATCATTGGTAATATTAACGATCAAATAATTATGATGGTGTTTAAATCATTATTTCTCTTTTTAATTTCAGCAACTCTTTCCTTAGACTCGATTTGACTTTTGAAAGCAAATATAATCTTTCTTTTTCTTTTTTAATGTTTTGAACTCTTCTGATTTTTTGTTTATTTGAATCGAATAGAATTAATTGAGCAAACTGGTAAAGAAATCACTATAGATTTCGAACTAAATATAAATTGAAAAGTCTTACATTTAAATATGAGTTAGCTTGACGATAATAAAACAATAATGTTTTATTATTCTTTAATTCAAAAAAAAAAATCCAAGTGAGTATAGTGTTCATATGGTTAGCTAAAAAATAATGCAACGTAATTTACTGTTGATAAATAATTGTTTTATTAAGACCTCCCCTCCCTCGAAATTTGATCTCAGGCTAGGAACGTTCGAATGGCATGAAATTTTCAGAATATATTGGGACTAATGAATCATGATTATGATAAAATTTTCAGCTCTGTATCGTAACGTTTGACAGAGATAACGACCAAACAACGGTCTAAAAACAGCTAATTTCGTCTCCAAAATTTCTCTGTGGTCTTCAGTGTATACATTTAATTTTTTTTTTGTTTGTTTGAAAGAGCATGACAGAATGCAATGCCTATGAGAGCTCTTTTTTTCTTAAACTCTTACTTTTTAAGGAAAAAAAAAGGATCAAAAGTTCAATGACTCAAAAAATCTCTCCAAAAATGGCGCTCTACTTATATAAAGGTTTGCATATATAATAAAAGCAAAGCTTAATGAAAAAAAAATTAGCTCTCATAGGTACTGCAGTTTTACACGCTCTTTCAAACAAAAAAAAAACCTATTAGCTATAATGCAGCTACTTGGAAAAATCTTGGAGATGCGATCGAAAACCTATAAAATGAGAAAGATCGAAAAATATTTTCGGTTTTTTTCAAAAACAGCTTTTTTTCGAATAGGAGATAAAGGAAACCTTTAAAAATTTTTGTCGTTTATGAGAGATCCAATGACGGGCTATCTTCTCCAGTGTTCATTTTAATTTCGTTGATTTTGACGAAAAGTGACTTTTTGAAAAGGGGAGCGGGGGCTTAGCAGAATTGGAGATAAGTAGAAATCCATCAAGAGACATTGAATGTTACTTCGATTGAATAATAATATGCCGTCATCATACAGCAAAGTATGTTCTTTTGTAGAAAAATAATATTGATAATGTGGATAGAATTTCATTTGTAGGTGAATTGCAATTTAATAATGTTTGCACCCATTTCTACTTTAATAATCATTCAATCAAATAGAATGAGAAAAAGCGATGCTCAATGCAACAACAGCCATAAACTTGATCGAATGTTTATGATCATCGATTGAATCTAATTATTTTACCAAACTTAGTCTTATTGAAATAAATTCTTTGGTTATACTAAAGAGAAGAACTTTTAATGAAAACCTAGATGTAAAATATAATATAGCTATTTATAAGGAAAAGAAAATATTAATTGTACTATATTACATTCACGAATATAAGCTACAAGAAAAACTAAGTTGTAATTATTTGTTCATCATCATTAACTTTCGTCCTTTCATCTCTGCATCAATTTTGCACTATCAATCATATACGTTTTTCTTGATCTTTTTTAATTTTGAAAAGTTCTTTCGTATTGTTGGCCTTTTTAGGAATATTTTGTGTTTTGTAAGTAATTAAATGCGATACCAGATGCCACTATGAGTTAATAGATGACATAATAAGACGATGTAACGCGAACATGAATGAAGATTCATCAATATATTGAATAAATAAGAAATAAGAAAGACAAGCTGATAATTAATTATAAATCAACGTGAGAGAGAAAAACAACACAATAATGTGAAGAAGTGAGTACATATTGACTGAAACAATCGAGAACTATCACCGTCATAGATGATTGTAACAGGTAAGAAAAGTTAACACGATGAACAATTAATGAGATATGTATGGTATTAATTAAAATCGATGACCTTCATATAGAGTGCAAAAAAAAGTAAATTTTTGAATAGAATATCTGAACAAATAAATATTTTGAGTGATTCTTATGTAATTCATGTTTTTAAACGAATTATTCAAAGAAGAGAAACATTTTATCAATCGAAGATTGTAATAAATGAACTAAAAAAAAAAGCTTTCATGACATTTTTTCAAAATTACAGTTCTCTGTTTATGTTCTTAGATTGTTTTTTATCCTATACGTAGAATTTTTGATGAAATATAAATAATAAAATTGCTACCTAGAGCAAGATGAAAAAAGGTGACTTACTGCATTTTATTAGATTTTTAACAAATAGAAAATGCCATTTAAATAGAAAACATTTTAGAAACATATTAAACACTTTTTTTTTGTTTCTATTGAATCTTTATGAATAAACAAGTGTTCTATTCTTTCGTTCAAGAGAAGCATAGTAAATTGCAATGATTTAAATAAAGATTTATTAATTTACATTTTGCAACATCATATTCATATATGCTTTTCTTGAAAGTGACAATATCAAGAATATTTCTGGATATTTTCTTATTCTTTTTAACAATGGAAACATGGAAAGTTGTAGCTCTTGTTCAAATTGCTTTATTTACAATAATTTTATTTTTTACTCTTATTTATTCAATATCAATTTTATTTATTCATCATCGAAATAATATATTAATATTGAATATATGTATAACAGCAACTATTACTTGTATTTATTTTATAATTTATTTTATTTTATATATTTTTAATCAAAATCTTCTATTTACTGAACATTGGTGTCATATTTTATTGTATGCATATAATATATCGAGTATTGGAATACCATTTTCTTTTGTTGCTATATCTGTTCATCGATATTTTTCCATCATCTATCATACAAAACGATTTTTTAAAACAAAACAATGGATAATAATTTGTATTTCAAGTCAATGGATAACTGAACTCATTATTTCATTACCATTTCTTCTTAGAAAAGGACAGGTAGGAATATTTGAAATATTTTATAATAGAACTTTCATGAGAATATTAATGTTTATAAATGATTAAGGTTTCTATAAGAAAATTATTTTGATTTTATTACTGTATGAAACATATCTATATGAGATGAATAAAAAATTAAAGTTTCATGCAATAAAAAATGAGAAATTTTTTCATTCATAGACTATAAAAAAGTTTGATGTAACAAACATTCTCGTAAAAAGTACAATATTTAATGACGTTTTTATTCAGTCTTGTTTTTTTTTACAGGCTATTTTTGTCCTTCCTCTGCGTCTCTTTTATGTTCATTTATAGATCATGACTTTTGTTTTAACTTTCCCAACGGTACAAAATGTTTATGATGAGAGTCGAAGCAATTAACAGATCATTGTATTAGAACACATTCTGCCAAGTTCTGTATAGTCGTTGGTAATTTCTTCATAAGAGTCCATTTTTAAAAAAGCCTTCCCTAGATGAACTTTTTTTTCCTTGCTCTTGACTAGAGCAGGCCTCAAGACTTGTCCATAGCGCATGACTTTCTTTCCATAGATATACACTTGGACGCTTGCATGAATTATGTGTATATTTCAAGTAATTCATGCGTTTGGCGCATGCAAATCGTACCCATGAGCATCGTTGGAACAATTAACTAAAATAAAATAGTAGCAGCATCCTTACCATTCAGGATGTTTGATGCATATTGCTGTTGCAGATTTTTCTTTAGGGATGCATATTGAACTGTATATATTATTTTAAATTGAATGCTTTTAGAAATCGGATCATTTTTGAACGTAAGTTTGCATAAGAAAAAAAAGTAAAGCACGCAAAACATAATGAAAAATTAATTTCAGATATCATAAGTATTCTTTTCATGATTTTGTCAGATGATGGGATCTCTTTGAACATTAATATCTGAAGCTTGTGGTAGAGACGGTTTGTGTTATTATTTTGTGTGGCTCGTAATGTTTTATACTCATTATTTCGTTTATGCTCATGTTTAGAGGTGCGAAGTAACCTTTACGTTATCAGTTACCTGGTAATGTAACTGTCTGATAACGCTAACTTCCCATTCCTACGTCTTATACACTCAACACGTAAAGCAGCTAATGACTAGTAACATCTACTTCGAAGAGATGACTAAAGCCTCAGAAAAAGACATCTTCAATATCCAAGCACATGGCACGCGCATGAACAAGAACTCAAACGTATGAGTAAGAATGTTAAGCAATAGAATAAGAAAGTCAAGCGCTTGAGCTCTCAAATAGACTTCAAGTCTTGCTTCAAGACTTGTCCATAGCGCATGACTTTCTTGCTTCAGATTTTCAAGTATCTCATGCGCATACCACAAGAAGTTCACCTAGGGTTGCTATTATCATATAAAAAAAAACACTTTTTAGTAGATAGATATACATTTTTTTGACAGTTTTTTGAGGGACTGAACTCATCATCATTTTTCTCCATTTAGAAAGTAAGAATTTAAAACACAACGGTTCTTGTAAACACTACAGTCAGACATGAGACTTCTTATAAAAAAATAAAAAATAAATGTATCGAATGAAAGCGTGTAGAAAATTTTCGACATTCGTTTGTTGAATATCTCTCAAAAGCATTATGATTTGAAGCTGAAACTTTTTGCATCACCTTTCCACTACAGTTCTAACATATCCTGAAAACTCAGTTCGTTTCTGAAAAAATATACACTGATTCCATCTCTGATAGACATATCTTAGACTGAAAACAATCAAAAGTTATGATTTCGTATTTCAGACAAGTTTCGAGTCCTTTACTAATAACGTTTATCATTATAGTATTGTACTGGCGTTTCTCTAATGGCAATTTATACATGGATTATGGCAGTATTATTACCTTTACTTTTCAATGTTACTTTGAATTTTCATATTTTTTTATATGTTCGATCGTCTTCACGTCGAAATGCAGCAAATATTAAACGTAGACCAATTCAAAATAATCGAAAAAGATTAACAAAGAATACTCGTCGAGATACTCGTTTATTATTACATATAATAGTGATGTTTTTTTTGTTTATTATTGGATGGGGTCCTGTTTATACAATATCATGTTTAAGATTGATAGTTAAACTTCATCCTCTCATTTTTCCGTTTTCAATCATTATTGGAGAACTTTGTTTGATGGGCATTATTATTGATTTATTTATATACAATCATCAATTAAGACATCGTTTAGTCAATAAGACTAGGTTATGTTTCAAAAGATTATTATAAATTTTATTAATAGAAAAATGACGATTGTAAATAAATTCTATCGATAAAAAATCTATTTTTGAGAGAAATATTTTCAAAAAATTATTATTAAAATAAGATTCTAACATAAAACAGCAAAATATATTCTTGTTCATATATCTTCAATTGTATTTGTCTTGTTTTTCGTCTTTCAATTCTTTAAATACCGACTATCAACATGAGGATCTAAAGTCAATCTTCTAATGACAATTAACAAAAAAAATAATGTAAAATTAAAATACCTCACAGTATGATACATCTAATTTTTCAAAAGACATTTCCTATTTCCTACTAATCAATTCAAATGGACTATTGTAATAACCTAGGTAAACATGAATACTACTAATAACTGTCGATGAATTCAAACGATTGAACAAGATTTTTGAACGAATATAGTGCGAATAGGGTGTGGGTGTGGGGTGGGTGTGGGTGTGGGTGGGTGTGGGCATTAGTGTGAAGAGCATATCCGCACCCCACCCACGCACACTCACACCCACACCCACCCATACCCACACCCTCAAACATTGCCGACCAAGGCACTGTTGAGTTACATTAGCATTACCCTCAAAACATCACACTAGATCAGCAAAGTCGATTTCTCAGTGAAAAGTAATTCGAATCTTAGGATTCTCTTATGTCTACTTTGTCGTCGTCAATCTGTAATCCTGACTTGCGCAAGTATCAATCTTCAAGGATTGCAATCCTCATGATTTATGACTCAAGAGTGTTAGTTAACACCAATTTAGTCAGCATCCGTTATTTTCTAATGAAAATAACGCACTACTCACCCAATTGGTTACTATGACTTGTGATCAACGGCATCATATTTGTTTGCAGTTCAGTATATTCAAATGTCGATAACCACTCAATCATTTCCATGAGAAAATTTTTCTCACATTCATCTCCATAACAAGCATATTCGAAAGTATTGATCACAGGAGCATTGTCAGCGTCAATAAACTGTAGCACTGTCTCAAGGCTAATCTGTTCCAGACCTAATGTACTGTTCTGGATATGCTCGGCAAATGATAGAGTTAATAATTTTTGCTGATAATCGAGCACGATTTGAACGTAACAATAACCACCGCTGACGTCGAACGTATTCGTTAAACTGTCAATTTGTTCCCCAAAGCCTTCGAAGTCGAACTCATCCAATGACTCTTGAAGAGGCTCTTCCGTAGAAATGCACCGAAGTTCAAAACCCGTTGTAGAACTAAGAAATAAGATGAGCAGAGCTAAATGTTTCATCCAGCGAGAAGAGATAGCAGAGAAATGATTCGATGAAATGGAAGAAAATCAGCCTCGACTGACATAAAATACTACATTAGCCGGAAAGAAAATAAAGATTTGTCAATCTATTCATTGTCACGTCGATCCATTTCCAGACGTCATGTAGAAAAAATAATGATATTTACTAAGTGTCGTATTGATCAAACCTGAAAATCATACTTATTCGCAAGGGAAAGAATTGATACTATCAAACAGTACCGTGAGAAACACGATCTTATTCGAAGCATTGTTGCTGAACTGGCAAAGATTTCACTAGTATACTCAAGGGGGAAACGGCAGACGTTGTACTTGAAGGTAATTTACACTACTTAAACGCACTTCGAGCTACTCTAAAGTACTTTTCTGTAATTTTAAAGTACTCTTTGTAATTTTAAAGTGTTTTTCAAAGTACTCTCATATAATTTTAAAGTACTTTGATGTACTTCAAGTCTGCCATTTCCCTCTTGAATATACTCCTGAGGATAAATGAATTCGATCTCGTTGATCTCTATATGCACAAAGGGACAATCAGTAAAAAGCTAGGTCTTTTTCCTTGATACATCGATTTGAATGACTATCGATTTCTTGGGTTTGGGTAGGTGTGGGTGTGGGTGTGAGTGTGGGGGTGGGGGTGGGGATGGGAGTGGGTGTGAGTGTACGCGGGTGGGGTGAAGATATGCTATTCACACTAATGCCCACACCCAACCATACCCACATTGACAAGATGACAGGAGATGCCACGTATATGAGGTTGTCACCCGTCAAAAACTGCAAAATCGTATCTGAGAAACAATATTTTACAGATACGTTCGACTAATGCCGAGGACCACAATATTCAGCAACTTACTATGCTTGGATGAGGATGTAAGTGGGAATGTGCAGTCGTCGATCAGTAAATTGGCTCCAGCTCCTTCAAAGTCTTATGAAAAAACAGGATTTACTATATACCATTCGACGCACGTCAAAAAGCTCTACAACATGGTATGTTTGTTTTTTTCACATCTACATAGGTTACCTTATCCCATAGGCTCTTTTAATAACGTTCTACGAACTTTTGGTTAACACTAAGTAACGTAAAAGTTACCGTTACCCGGTAACGGTAACGGTAACTTCCCATTCCTACTTTTGTTTACTTTTTTTTGCGACATGAACTGCTAGCTTGTCGTATGGCATATGATTATAAAGATGTCGACTAGTACTCAATAATTAGAAGAAAAAAAAATCATCGTACAATAAGAAATATTTACATTTGTTGTCACTTTCGTCAAAATGAAACTACCAACAAAACGAAAAACAAAAAGATAAGTGATTTGATTCGTTTGCAAGATGAAGGAATCATTCACTGTGTTAATATCATATCAACCATTTACGTAGCAAAAGTTTAGGGTTATATAAGTACTCCTTTATAATGTAGAAATTTATAATTGCACGGATAAAAATGATAACAACTGTTCCCTATTTTCTCCACCTTTTATTCTCTCTTAGTTGTTGCCTCGTCTTTTCTTTTATATTTTATACTGTTTATATTTATTTTTCTCTTTCTTGCTTTGCATACAAAGCGTAT